CCCAGAGAATCACTGGCCTCAGCTCCTAACCACATTGTTTAATAGGAACCCAATAAAGCAAATCTACTGAGAGCCCCTCAGCCACATATCCCCAGCACAGCCTGGATGCAAGGCCCCCTGGAGCTTCGATTTAACTATCAAGATAACCATCTTGTTGAGAATATAAGCCATAGGACCAACTGTAGCCCAGGATGGGTCCAAAGACTCCAGAAAACTTTCCAGGTACACACTAACTTCCATGTCTTGACCAGTGACTGTAACTTCTGAGCCTCTCCTCTCAGCTGCTAGATCTAGACTCAGCCATGACCACCACCAGTGTCCGGCAGCTGTATCTCATGGTCATGACCCTAGGCTAAGGGCTTGAGTTGGCCTCGGACCAACCTGAAGTATGAGTTGCTTGTCTTCTTCCCAGCCTAGACCCCAAAGTGCGCACAGGAGCGCCCATTTCCGCTCCAGGACAATGGAAGACCCAGGACCTAAGGCCCTCCACTTTTTCCTGACCCTCCATGGCAGCCACTCAAGTCCCCAAACCCTGCTTTGCCTGGATTAGGCTCAAGCCTGCAGGAAAAAAGGGTAAGAAAAATAATGGTACTCACCAGCTCAGACCCTGTTTGTTCTTTTCCAGCCTCGCTTACACTGAGGGTTACACAATCCCGAATGACCGTTGGAAAGCGGGGTGAGGCGCGAGACCAGGTGCGTGGCACGAGGAGGCGAGGAGGCGAGAGCCCGTGCATAACTCTTGGCACCTGATCTCCAAGCAGACGCTGAAGGGCTGTAGTGCTGGCTCTCCCCCCCCCCCCTCCCGGTACCGGGGACCTTGCGCTTGCCAGGCAGGCGCTTATGCCTGCTGACCTATATCCCCAGTCCTTGCATTCTTTTTCCAAGCTACTGTATGCTTGGGGGCGTTGACCTGCTTGAAACACCGAGGGTCCAGTGACTTTCCTCGCTTCTGCCTTGGGTCTGTAGCTGATTGGCTGCACAGCTCAGGCCCTGGCCTCCTGCCCATGTTGATTGGCTACAGAGTTCTCCCTTTCCCGCCTCTATTCTGGGACCTGAACTCCTTCACAAGAATAGCTGGAAAGGCTGCTTTTGCAAGACCTCAAAGGAACTGCCATCTTTCTGGTCTTTCCGGGTTTTATCCTGATCCCTCTTTTTTAAAATTATTTTTTATTTATTTTAAACTGGTGATTGAACATAGGGCCTTTACACTGAGCTACACCCCAGCCACA